ATGCCAACTTTCATTTTCAGTTACAATTCTCGCGATTTGTGGTTGTCGTCTTATCAGATCAATTTTTAACAAGGAAATAACATGATCACATTTGATGTGACTGGTCCCTACATTCTCATTATAAGAAGGGTTTCTATAAATCCTAGCATTACCATCAGTTTGTTCTAGAACTGCACATTTAATTCATACATAACGCATACTTAGTTGACATCAATTGTATATTATGGTTTGTTAAATTCATACCTAAGCATTTCGAAGCGCTTGGCGACCTACTTCCTGCCGATGCATGCGGTGATGGAGAAGGTTGGGCCTCAGGACAATTCCACCGACGAAGACGACGACCACAATGAAGATGAAGATCTTATTCGCTTTGCCAACAAACATTTCAAAATGTATGAACTTTATCTCTCATAAATAAGCATTTTCTGATAACTAAGTATGTATGTTTAAAATTTTGGTCATTGTTCTGCACATCTTTATCTATTTATTCTCGCCTCCGTCGTCTCGAAGTATTCACTGTCTCTTTTACTTACCTGGATAGGATGAGAAAACATTTCTTAACCAACCTTATCCGGTGTTTACTCACATGAATCGGGACTAAGGTTCTATGTGTCATGTAAGTGGCAGGTGGGCGCACGTACCCATGACTGGCAGAATAGTTCTATTACATCTTGAGGGTGAGATATTTCAACAAAAAAATAACCTTTTTATCCCACAAACAACATGTATAAGGTCAATGATACCCTTGAATCTTTAAATAATTACTTATTTAGTAAAGTTGACTCGTATGATTAAACCATTCTATCTCATCCTATCTCATTCCTCCAAGTAAACCACAAAATGTTACTCATATGATTAAACCATTCTATCTCATATCATCTCATTCCTCCAAATAAACCACAAAATGTTACTCATATGATTAAACCATTCTATCTCATCCTATCATTCCTCCAGTAAACAAGGTCTTATGTATTTAACAAACATGCATTTAATATACTTAAAACAAATCTTGAATAAACGGGCATAAGTTCTAAAAATTTCCTTTTCTCTCTCTTAACTCGGTTTCCCAAATTTCTCAGAAAACCTAACCTAAGTAAATCCCGTCGGCCTCCTCCTTTGCGAGGGCTCTGCACATGTGGCTTTCGACAAGGTTGTCGGTTGTTTTTTGCTCCGATCCCCGTCTGTCGGAGGTTAGTTGAGGTTAGGCTCCTATTTCCCCTGTTCTTTTGATCCCCTGGGGTGGGGCGGTAGATTGAGGCTGGCGGTGTGGGTCGCATCTCCGGTGGTTGGACGTCATGGGATACGGGTGGTTGGGGAGGTGTTAGGAACTTGGGGCTACATGTTCCCACCTTCTTTTCCCGACACTCCTAGGGTTGGGTGTTGGGCTGCCACAGTGGAGCTGCGATGTTTGGCTTAAGGGGTATGCGGGATTTGGCTGTTGGAGTGTGAGGGGATGTGGTCGGGCTTGACGCGGGCTTGCCGGTATGGGGGTAGATTGCTGTGGCGAGGTGTCTAGGGTTGGGTGTTGGATTTTGTTAGGCCTTATGCAATTTCAGGTTCGACGCTTTATTCTGGACTTATGTCGTTTGAGTGGTTTCTGTCGGCGGTTGGTGGCAGGGTGGTCGTGGAGTTGCTAGTCGGCTGGGGAGGAGGGCTTTCAGTTCATTTAGTTTTGTTGCATTCCTATTGTTGTTAGGTTTGTGTTTGTCTAGGCCCGTCTTTTGGCGCTATTGGAGTTGGATGATTACCTTGGATGGGCTCGATCGCATTATGATTGCCATTCAAGGTGGATATCGAACTACTTCTTTGGTGTTCTGGAAGTGGGATTGTATAGTTATGGTGTGGGCTTTGTTTTTATGCTTTTTTTTTGTGTTTTCTTTTGTTGGTGTAATGTGTTGGCGCGTCTGCTCCCGAGGGGGTGCGCCAGGGCCGTCTCCAGAAATTCGGAAGCCCCAAACAAATTTTTTCTTTTCGAATTTTCTCGAGTTTAACTTACGTGGTAATTAGGGCTATTTGCAGATAGAATCACAAAATTAAACGAGAGTTTTAAATAAATAAATAAATAATTAAAAAGAAATATTTTTCTTGTTTTTCTTGAACTTGTAATTGATAAATTACTTTCGAGTTACAAAGATCTTTAATAAATTACATTCAACCAATCACGAGAACAAAAAAGAGAAGAAAATAAAAATCATATCACTACAAAGAATATTTTTTCTCACACAACTTTTTCTGAAAACAAATGAAATATTTAGGGTCTCAATTTCCGACACAAATTACATATTTTGTCATTATCTCTTTCATTTTGTGTAAAATATTGTGTAAATCGACAAAATCCAACACAAATACATAATATTAAAAAAAATATCTTATTTGTGTAGATAGACAAAACCAAACACAAATACATAATAAAAAAAAAAAAATGAGGCCTCAAATAAAATGGAGATCCTAGGCCCATGTCTAGGTTGCCTCCCCTCTAGAGCCTGGCCTGGGGTGCGCACTTTCTCCCTTAGGGGAGTTTGATTATCCTGTATGAGAGTGTGTAGTCTCCCATTTAGAAGTTTCTTTGTCCAGTTTGGAGTTTTGTTTTCGTTTTTATGTTGTTAGTGTTTGCGTTTGTTCTAGGCGATCATCTGGATCTGTCCTCTCACTAGATTCGGCATTTGAGCCGTCTCTTCGGCTTTGGAGTAGTTTTCTAGCCGTAATCATGTGTTTTTTCTTCAATAAAATTTATATAGTTTGAAAAAAAAAAAAAAAATCTTGAATAAACGCAAACCTTGGGTAAGATTTTTTTGCTGTCCTTGTATGAACAAATAATTGAAGCGAGTCCCTCGCATTTTGCAGTTGGCACCTTCATCTCCCACACAACAAAACAAAACCAATTTACTTTACCTCTTTTTTTTCCTCTGTGCTCCCATTGCTCCCCTCATTCTTGCATCTCTCCGCAGAATCAAATCTACTCTCTGTACTATTTATTTATTTTATTTATTTTATTTATTTATTTATTTTTTTTTTCAATTTTAAACAGAGAATCAATTATCCCGACTGATTCTTAACGTTGTTCACTGGTTTCAACTTTCAACCTTTCCATTTATCAACTCAAGGCCGTTCACTGATTCCTCACCGGAATCCGTTTCTGGGCCTAAAATGTCTCTTCACTGTGCTCCGTTGGGCTTCAGCTGTGTTGAGCCGTACAGTCAATTGGTGGGCCCCTCTTCATTTCTCAGGAAATGGGCTACTGTGAAAGCATCGGCTCTTTCATCGCCGTCTCCATCTTCGTTTCCAAGATTCAGACTTCACGGTGAGGATTGGCGTCCCTTCTCTGAGGTTTCTTTGCTTCCTTAATTTGCTGTTAACCCAATTTAGTTTACATCGAACATTTGTTGTTAACCCAATTATAGTATCTTGGAATATGTAAAAAATCTTGGATGAGGGTTTTTTTTTGGTTTGATGATAACTTCAAGATCATTAACTTCTTATTTTTCTTTTCAATTTTTGTTTTAATTAAGGTTTTGAATGTGTAGGAAAAGCATTAGAAAGTGGTAATGGAACAGTTGAAACCAAAGAGTCCCCTCTGGTGGTCTGCTTTGGGGAACTGCTAATCGACTTTGTACCAACGGTGAGTGGGGTCTCATTGGCCGAGGCACCTGCTTTTCAGAAAGCTCCGGGAGGTGCCCCTGCTAATGTTGCGGTTGGCATCGCTCGTCTTGGTGGCTCATCGGCTTTCATAGGCAAGGTAATTTTAGTCGAAACACAGTAGACTATTGTAGATGAAAAAGGGAAATCTTGGTACTGAATTTGACTAGACATGAATTTACTATGAAAGGATCTTCATGTACTTTTTATTTTATTTTTGTTAAGTTTCATTTGGGTTTGTGGGATCAGGTGGGTGAGGATGAGTTTGGATACATGCTTGCCAACATTCTAAAGGAGAACAATGTAAATAATGAAGGGATGAGGTTCGACCCGGGGGCCCGAACAGCTTTGGCATTCGTGACCCTGACAAAGGATGGTGAACGGGAATTCATGTTTTACCGGAATCCGAGTGCCGATATGTTGCTGCAAGAGGCCGAACTTGACTTGGAGTTGATCAAGAAGGTAATGGTGCCCAAGACAAAATATGACTGGCTTATCATGATTAAAATCAGTATGAATTAAATTAATTGGACTCACAAGACAAAACCTTCAAGGATTAACTTTAGTAAATTAACTAGATTTTTAAATTTATTTTAAACCTTCAAGGATTAACTTTAGTAAATTAACTAGATTTTTAAATTTATTTTAAACCTTCAAATATTTTTTATTTTTATTTTTAATTTCAGTTTGAAGATTGAATTGCAGCCTATTTTTAGATCTTAAATCCCGATTACAATTTCATTTTTCTGTTTTGATGCCCCTCAGGCCAAAATATTCCACTATGGTTCTATAAGCTTAATCACGGAACCTTGTAGATCGGCCCATATTGCCGCCATAAAGGCTGCTAAGGAAGCCGGCGTGATTTTGTCTTACGATCCGAATTTGAGGCTTCCTTTGTGGGTTTGTGCAGAAACCGCAAGGGAAGGGATTCTTAGCATATGGGACATGGCTGATATAATTAAGGTTCTTTCATTTGAACCTACTTATTATAATCATATATGCCTCCAATTTGTGTTTTTGCTCATGTTCGGATTGAGTAAATCAGATTAGCGAGGAGGAGATTCGGTTTTTGACCAATGGAGAAGACCCATATGACGACAACATTGTTCGTAAATTGTACCATGAGAATCTGAAACTTCTCCTTGTCACAGAAGGTCCTGAAGGATGCAGATATTACACCAAGGTGTGCTGTTGTTTATATCGAAATCAAATTTATGAATGAAATTATATAATAAGAAGTGCTTTTTTGTTGAAAAAAACATTATAAAGACATTAGCATTTTGAATCATGAATAATGCAGCTCATGTAATAACTTTTATTCCCTTTAAGTGTTTATTACAACATAGGATCTAATATCTAATTTATTTGGGCTGTACAGGAGTTTAGTGGAAAAGTGAAGGGTCTGAAGGTACAAACCGTAGACACCACCGGTGCTGGTGATGCTTTTGTAGCCGGGTTTCTATCACAGCTAGCTTCTGATACATCGTTGCTTCAGGTAATCATTTAATTCTTAAAAAATCCATCTTAATTACATAATTAGCATTATTAATTTACTAGTGTGTAGCCCCGTGTGATGCATGGGTAAATAATATTAAATAATAATTATAAATTAAAAATATGAAAAACAATATTAACTAATAATTATAAATTAAATATGAGGGTATAAAATATTAACTAATAATTATAAATTAAGATGTGGAGTTAATGTGTGACATAATTTATCGTATATCAATTGTAAACAATATAAAATTATCTTGTATAAAATAACATAAAAGTGTATGTTTAAAATATTAAAATCACTTAAAGTATTATATAACACATGTAAGTATCTAAAATTTTATATATCATTGTTGAAAGATGTGAAGTCGCCTAAAATTTGTTTAAACTATCTTGTAAGAAAACATGTCTAAAACAATTTAAAAAAATCTTGCCTACAATATATTATTCAATTCCCAAAAGATAATGATAAGTATAAGTTAAAATTCTCGAATCCACGTGAATATTAATTTTGAGATCCGTGTACTATTCAAATTACTAATTATGTTCATTTCTTGTGAACTTTATATTGATTTATTGATTTTATTTTATTTCCATACAAAGTTGATCGTTTAATTTTTTGTTTACATATTTTAGCGGAGATTTAACAAAGGCGGTTGCATTTATAAAATGATTTGGATATCAACATACAATTTATAATGGGGTTTTCAAAATGGTGTACTATTAACAAATAATAATATCGTTAAATATTTTTTTTTTGAAATGCACAATTGTTGAGTCTGAGAATTTGAAAATTATTTTACCTTTTAAAACCGAGTTTAGAAAAAACAATAGATTGGTAAACAAAATATTGATAAACATTACCAAGTTTATTATCACACGTTCCACATTCCAAATAAATACATTGTGATGATTAGTGGAAAATGATATTTAAAGAATAACGTTCAATATTATTATTATTATTATTTTTTTTTTTGAAAGACTCAAATATAAAGACCGATATTCAAAAACTTTTATTTCATTTTGAATTAAAAGATTTTATAAATCGAAAAAAAAATACACACTTAATAAACCTTAGCTGGAATTTTAAAAAAATAAAATGAATTAAAACCCGAAATTTAAGGCAGCATTTAATGTTGTATGATTTTTTAAATTTAAAAATATAAATAAAAAATAATAAAACTTACTATTTATGGGTTGCATTAAATTCTCTCCCAATTTTTTGCTACTATATTTGGTAAATTCGCTCCTATATATAGATTACCAAGGTTAATTAAAAAGAAAAAGGAAGCTAGAGACTTGATATATACTCTAAAAAGAACATTACTCGTTATTACCCCTTTCATAAGCAACATAAACGTATGAAGATGCCACTCGTGACTTCGAATTTTTGTAGAATGAGGACCAGTTGAGAGATGCTTTAAGTTTCGCTAATGCTTGTGGTGCTTTGACTGTGACCGAAAGAGGTGCTATTCCAGCTTTGCCTGCTCGAGAAGCTGTCCTCAATGCCCTTCTCAAGTCAGTTGCATCATAGTTTTCTCGTTTAATCTTTGCATAATTAGCAAAAATATGTCCGTAATTCTAAAATCCCGATTTTTTTTTTCCCCAAGGTCTCATATTGTGACTACATGCACAATCTTCTACTGTTAAAATCATCCAAAAATTTCTAGTGTGCAATGTAAATTAGGAATAAGACTTTTTTTGGCACGTATCTTTTCCAGTTTGCAATACAATATGTGTGTTGACTAATTGCTTATTACCATTTGGCAATATTTATATATTTTTCTATTTTGGTGATATTTGATTGATAAATAAATCTATCTTTAACTAATTCAGTTTTCTGTTGAGCCTGATAGTCAACAGTACTGAGTAGCTACAAGCCTACAACAATCAGACAAGGTTGAAGGGTCAGATTATTCATCATTTATTGATTCTGGGATATTCGAGTCTTCAACCGCAAGTAAATTTACGCAGGACGAAAATCTTGCGACTCTTTAGAAAAAAAAAAAATATAAAAGAAAAGTAACCAGTAATGTGAGACAAGATTTTATTCTAATTTTACATGGATTTTTAACCACAAATTTCACGCACCCCCATGGGTGCGTATGAGTGAAAATTTGGTGTGTGTTAAATTTGTCGTAAAAAACTCGATTGGGTAGGATATCGACTCTACCCAGAAGCTTGGATCCATCTTGGCTGAGGAAGTCAACAGGATGATGTCGAAGATTGACATGGCAACATCTCGTTTGAGGACTTTTCCGAGTTTGCACGGACGGACGGGTGAACGAGTCGAGTCTTGCTTAAGAATGTTGCCTATATAGATTTTGTAAGTTTGGCCCCCTTTTTCATTTATTTTTTCTGTTCTAAAATTGTCAACACTTATAACTCTGTATAAAATTGTGAGAAAATGGTGTACAATCATTTCACATGGCATCTTACAATAGAGAACATGATGTCTTGCAGTATATCTGCACATGCATGATGCCTTTGTATTCATTTCTAGGGACAGAGATTTCACTGCAAGTCTACACATGCTCCACATTTTCTTCTTTTTTTTTTTTTTTTTTTT